GTAAAATCCAGTTCAACTGATACGTCGAGAGTACCATTCAATTCCGAAAGTTTTGCAGATGAAGGGGTTTATATAAATGCACCTTACACCGTTGCACTCACAGAACCATCATCTAGTACCTTTACATCTAACTTACTTGTAAATTCATCCGCATCTAAGTTTATGGCAGATTATCAACAGAATTCATTACAACAAAGGCTTAATATACAGGTAAGCGAAATAATAAAGTTTTCGGGTTATGTGTCTAAAAAATAACAAGATGTTCATTGAACATATTATTCCCTTATTTCAAAAGTGATACAACTAAAAAAATTAACTTTTTTAGTGAACGGGAAAAATTATTTTTAAAACTGATAGAAAATTATCGACTAATCAAATAATATCGGCGAAAAGAAAATATTTTTAATATAGTAAATATTATTTTTTCTTTTACCATCATTAAAAAACACTTTGTGCCGTTTTTGATGATTCGAAGTTAATTTATTTGTGATGATTAATAGTGATGTTTACCAAATTTATTCTTGCTTAATTTCATTATACTAATATTTCTCAAAAATAATGTTTTTTTTTTGTTGTTACTTTTGAAATGAAGGAACGATATGTAAACATTTTTATTGAAGAAAAATAATTTATAATGTTAAAAATAAAATTTCTAAGGCGCAGCAAACTCAAGAAAATTGTGAGTACATAAAACAGAACGGCCACGCTACAATAGAAGAAGTTCGGAATCATTGTGATGCAGGCTCGGAAGTGAAAGCGGACGACGATTTAGGTTTTGATCCTTTCCACGAAACACAGAAAGCATTAGCAGAACTTTTAGCAGAAGATGAAATGCAAGTGCAGCAACAGAAGATGTTCCAACAACAGCAAAGAGAACGAGAGGAGCAAACTAGGGTGCAGCATCAACAAACTCTTGCTAGCCTTAATCAACAACACTTTCCACAAGTAAATATTCTTATCGGATTCTTTTATTTCTTATTAATATGTTTAACATATAATTTTCAGTAACGTGTGCGTTATTTTTTACATGTGCCATTTTTTTTCATTTTTAAAAGTTTTTATTTTTTTACTTTTTGTATTTTGAAATTCGCTGATATAGTAAAACTGTGGAGGGGAGTCATATCAGAGAATAGAGGTGACTCATGGAAAATGTTATCATTGACAAGGAAATTGTTTAGATGTATTTTTTATAACAATGCGCATTATGAAAGATTAATATTAATTTTAACTTTAGTTTTTAATGAAATTTGGTGATGTATTTTAAAAGTATAATTTATATCTCTGTATAATTTATAATACTTTATGCAAAATACATTCAAATTAAATGATATTTATATATTATTTTTATCAATAAATACGCGCATTTATCGATAAAAATGAGGTGCAAATATAAACCAATGAATTTAAAGAAACAAATACTCTTTCAGGTTGCTCACATAGCACATTTGCAGCAACAAGCCCAGCACTTGCAAAATTTACAGGTGCTTCAGTCGCATTCCCTCTTGTCCCGTCTTCCGCAAAATCTGTTACCAAGCGGCGCGCAGAGCCCTGCACAGGGTACTGTAACAGCTACCACATTAGGACAACGCAGTCGACTCCCGCCACCTGGTTTTCCTGGTTCTACGCCAAATCACATGAACTCATTCGGTCTCGGTATACCGCGACCAGCACCAACGAATAGTGCCCTCTCTGGTTAGTGTTCCTCCAATTTTTCCAGACACCAGGAATCATAGTGCACAGTGCGTGAAATTTACATACGTATACGATAATCTATCGTAGCCGTAGATAAAAATAAATTATTGATTCGCGGATTTCTATAGAATAAAAAGATCTGTCGGACCACCAAAAAAATCACATGAACATGTAGAAATTTAAATAGGATGTTGCTACTTGCGATCTGTTAATCGTCCAATGCACGCTATGTTTGCAGGAGCGCAGCCACCTCAACCACAGAGTGCGTACCTTCCAAATGGAAGCCCGCTTCTCAACACGCAAAGTAATAATTCTACCTATTAATCTTCTGTACTGGGATACTTTTAATATATTTATAGATTATAATATTCGATCACAATTTCCTATACAGGCATCGGCAAGTGCACGGGCGACGTTTATACTCTGAAAGATTGGTGCGAAATTAATAATCAACAGCAACAGTTTCACCATCAAGCGTTACATCAGAAAGGATGGAACAATTTCGGACCTATCGCAGATTGGACTTCGATTGATCCGGCTATAGTCACATCATCTAGACCTCTTCCATTCCAAACTACCAGCGCTTGGCAGTTTTCTCACATTCATCCTTCTCATGTTGTAACTCATAACACGCAACAGGTACGATACAATTTTGTGTATCTTTACCAATTTATACTTTATTATTTATCACACATAGATATGTAAAAACATAAATCTTATTTAATTCATTCTACAGGAAGTGTCATAAATTACATTGACGATGCATGCAAAAGTAACAAGTCATGTTTATGTTTGTTCAGGAACAGAACGCACCTACTCAGCATTGGGCGATGCAACCACCTCCTGGTTTTGCTGCACCCTCGACTACAGGACAATTGAATAATCCGCAGCCGAGCACGACCGCACAACCGCACACCAAGCTCATCTCTGCAGGATCGGAAATCGAAAGTAAGTTGATCGCGATCAAGCTCCGTGCAAACTAATAAAAAGAAAAAGAAAAATACCTTATAATGCGCGGTATCGAGATATATAGGCCGTCTATATTGCAGACCTATAAGTCTAATGCGTGAGGCGAACGAGTCGAGGCGTCATAATGTTTCCGGACGTGGCAAGATCAAATCCAGCAAATGAAAAACAAAAAAAAAGCGACAGTTGATAATGTACGTTTTCCTAACGCTTCTTTATCTTAACGTTTTATTTCAAATCTCCATTTATTTGTGCGAGTATTTACTCGAATGAAATATCGGAATAAAATATGAGTTTCCTCGATGTAAGCGAAGATTGTACGTCTCAATACATCTTCCTCATTATCATTTCTGAATTATAGCAAAATTTATCATATTAAGTCTGACTATCGTTATAAGCGAAGTGTTATGTAGGATATGAAATATTAAACGGATAAATGATTAAAATAATCAAAAGAGAATGATCACGATATTTGCAAGTACATTTCCTTTTTTGAATTTTTATAATTAATTAAAACGCTATTTTCTTCGAAACATTAAAATTGAACATTAATGTCCTGTGTTTATAAGCTTTGTGAGATTGAAAGAAATACAGCAGAAAAGTATTAGAATGCAAAAGTAATGAAACTTTTTAAAGCATTGTTTAATTTTACATCTGTCATAGTTAAGCGTGATTTATACGGAGCGATTTTTATTATTCGCTAGAAGCCGCGTCTAGTGACGTCATAGCGAATTTGTTACTAAAAATTTTTTCTAGACGCTGGTTTGTTCTTATAGCGTTTAATCGCGACGAGTACCGCTTTCGACACTTGTCGCTAGCTTGTTGCTATCTTGTCGCTAGCTTCTTGCTGTTCTTTCAGAGTGAATTTTTAAGTCGTCAGCGTGAAAAGACGAATTTTTCCGGAACGTCTCGGCCATTCAGACCATAAGCATCAGAGAATAATCATGTCATCGAATGGTATACTTCGAACCGCTGTTATGACCAACTATTCGCTTAATCACTAGCGATCACTTAACGCTGCGACTTCAAAATTTTAGTCGCTAGCGAATAAAAACCAAGCGTGTACAAGAAGCTTTCATCAGCGCATTGGTGGACGAATTAAGAAGCTTGCTTCAAGCGAATAGCAGCAGAGTCGAGAGAATTCACTGGCGAATTAATGACGTCATTAGACGTGGCTTCTAGCTAATAAAAGTCGCCCTGTGTAAATCACGCTTTAGAAATGTGTTTTAAATTAAAAGTTTTGTTATCGTATATATTTAAATGCTCTATTGTTATATTGAAATGAATTGTTATATATGTATATGTACCTAATAGTACGGTATCATAAATCGTCTTATATATATTTTGCTATTTTATAATATTACTTTTATCACGTTGAAATGTAATTGATTTTATCCAATCATTTTAAAAAGTTAGAATTCTTTTATCATTGAGCAAGATATAATATGACATAATTTTACTGTCGCTACAGTAAAATAACGTGGAGTTTTATTATCTTTGCAAACATTAACTTTCTTCGAGTACGTCATTGATGTGCATCATCATACTACAAGACACGGACTCGTTATTATAAGAAGAAAAGGGAAAGACTAAGAATTAGGATCTCCTACCTTAGTTTTGATAATCATTTTAATGAATATATTGAATTATCAAATTGATTGAACACACAGGTCATATGGATTAAGGATTTATCTGTACAAACCGAGAAAACTTTCCGAGCGATATTTCTAATCTTGCGACACATCGATGTATCAATATTGATTAAGGAAAACTACTAGAGATGGCTGTTCGAAAAACATTAACAACGCGACAATGTATTTTATTTACGAATGCGAAGCGAGAAAAAGGAAAGAAAGACAGGGGGATTATTAATACACGATGTACGATAAACGATGCGAGAAAAACGTCTGAGCGATGTTCATACGACGCGAATTAACGTCGAACGAGAGAGTTATTCCCGTGGCAGATGATTATCGAAAGTATCTCTGCCAGTTTAAGGCGAATAATGAAAGAACGTCACACATACACAAGAGAACGAATGAGATAATAAAAGTATAATTATTATAAAATTTAATTCAGTAAGATAATCGAGAAATATACGATAATGCGCAATGAAATTCCTGTGGTAATCTTATCTTCATCTTCTTTCCGTATCTTTTATCAATTTTTACCTATTAGTAATAAGTAGTAACTAACTTAGTTTTATTAAATTTTATTAATTACAATCGTTTTGTTTTCTTCCAACAGTAATGGTTCAAGAATCTTGAGGAAAAAAGATTACGTGTGCTGGTCAAATGATTTTATTTAATTATTTATAATAATTTATCATAAAATTTTGTTTCTGTTATATATTCTCTTATTAAAAAAAACTGACATTTCAAATTTAACGACTGCTATTACTGTTTACAGTTGAAAGTTTCCTGTGTACAATGAGAATCCTTATCAACGAATACATAATATTTTCCCTCCATTGAATTGTTGTAATCTAATATATTGCTATTCATGACAATGCAATCTGTTGTGTTAGAATCAGGATAAGAAGATGAACTGAAAAAATTCAAATCACGTAATAAGTAATACAATAATCATAAAATAACAGAAAATCTGTAATAATTCGAAAGAACACCTTATTTACATCTTGAAATGACTTGGAAAAAAACAAATTTAATAATATGCATGTTTTATATAAATGATATAATGAAATTTTTTAGGAAAATTTAATGTTCGTGAAAGTTGAGCTAAAGTGAAGTGTATCAAAGGAAGGGACTTACCTGTTAGGAACACCAGGGAATCCACACTTATTTTTAAAAATATCTGCCATATAAGTAATAGCTCTTGAGTGTGAGCAAGGCATAAAATTTATGCCTAAAATGTGAATTTGATTTATTCATAATTTCCTTTTATCGCTTCTTTTCTATTATTCTAGCAAGCAATGTCTTTTTGTACGTAATAATTAGATGCAATTAATCTCTCAGTACCGCATTTTGGTTGTATGTGTCCGCCATTGAAGTACAAATCTAGGTTACCCATCTGGTCCGATAGCCCGAGATCTGATGTGTGGAGAATTGTTACAAATGTGGCATCCGATTTGCAAAGTTTCTCCTCGCATTTGTTGATTTTGAATAATGGCATTGCGGGATCAGCACCAATGATGAGTTTTATCTGCAAGCCAATCTTCTGAATATTTTTCCCAGCAAAGCCACACACGTGCGCGCCGAGGCTGTGGCCGATGTATATTATATTTTCTAATGGAACACCGCATTGTTTTATCAAGGTAACAGTATGGCTGCAAAATGAAAATTCGATTATTATAGCCATCACATCTTTGGTATGTATACACGTGCCTGTGTATGTGTGCGTGCGTGTGCATATACATATACAACATACATATACATATTTTAACTTTTACATCGAAATATCTCCAAAAGTAAAGAATGCGGAAAAATATTTCAGGTAACAAGTAAAACGGTTTCGAGAGCAACGTATTTTTTTTTCTAAGTAGAGACGCCGAAAAGATATAACAGGTCATCTTTTTAAATAAAATTATGATTTTTTTACATAATATGATTTTCCTAATTATTCTGTTTATAAAAGTAAGATACGATATAAAAAATAGTTTAATTAATAGTTTACGAGAAATTTAACATTTTATGTCAATATGTGTCAGAATAAAAAGTATTAAAAATCTCTTAAACTATTAAATTTTTTATATCTCTACCTTAATACTTTTATGTGCAGAATAATTAGAAGAATCATATTTTATAAAAAAAAATCATATAATTCCATTAAGAAAGTAGATCTTTATATATTTTTGGAGCCTCCACTTAGAAAAAAAATAATGTGATCAAAATATGTCCCCCTCGAAACTGTTTCACTTTTATCTGAAATGTTTTTCCGTATCTTTCATATTTTTCAAAAATTTGTCTGCTAAGATTAAAGTAAATCGTTCATATATGTGTATGTATGTATGTATGTGTATATGTAAAGTTTAATCGAATACTATGCTTATTTTATTATTATTTAATCATTAATATTATTTTATTTTGTGTATTGATTTTTTTTTTGAAAGTAGTTATACTTTGCCAAAAGATGACCTATCTCTCGAGTGTTGATCACCGCACTAGGATACGCCGTGAACTTCAAGATGGGTAATCCTTCTGTGCAGGCTCCTTGAGACCAATCCAGCGCAAATACTGTGTATTTCTATCAAAGTAGAAAATTATTTTATTAAGTAAATTGATGAATTTTTGCCGTAGTATAGAATTTATCAATTCATCGGGAAATTATTTTATCAATTGTTATTTGTTTATTTTTCACTATATTTTACAATACATTCACATTGAAATTAAATTTTTGTCTTTTGTAGGTGCGTCGCACTTTTATTCCAATTATTACTTATGCGAAAGTGTAATATCTACATGTTTCAATTGCATGGCCAGATCTCTAATATGAGACGAATTTGCGTAACTAGTGAAGCCATGGACTAAAAAGACGACCGGTTGCGATGGATCAATATTGTTGCAGAGCTCATTTTCCAAAACTTCTTCGCCTGTAATATTAGAGCGACTGAAACAAAAATAAATATAATTGGCACAACAGGTGAATCGACAAGGGATATTTTCTGTTTTACCTGTTATACAGAAATAATGATACCGATTTAACGCCGAAAATACAGGAGTCTGAAAATTTATTCAGCAAAGGCACCTGATTAAGTTCGGCACGTAAATATGTGCATTGTATAAGGAAAAGTACAAGTATCGTAATAATAGTTCTCATTGTGTGCAAAAAGAAATATACGAATTATCAAAGAGAAATTGTTAGATACTAGATCAAACCTTGCAATAATACGAGCTTTTATACCAGTACATGTTTTGTACATTTATACGCATATAAGTATTGATACTTGCAACATCAGCGGCTGCATAAATTATTTGACAAACGCAGAAAATTTGTAATATTATGATATCAATGGCAAATGATTAATATATGCTGCTACACCGCGCGCATCTTTTCTTTTTGTAGTTCGTTTGCATTTCCGACATTATGCGACGATAAAAATGATGAAGTACAGACAAATATTGAACATGATAATACATCCTTGATGTTATTATTTATCAACATATTGCAGTGCGATGCACACTTGTCATGTATCCTTGTACTTGACATCTCATCGAGTTGTTATGAAACAGAAAACTTTTTATAGACTATAATTTAACGATTGTGTACTTTCACGAAATATCCAAATAAGAATACCGAAATCATAAACAGAAAAAGTATAGGATTTCTGCATAGTAGTTCTGTACAGATGAAGTTCTGTTTTCTTCGACGAACTATATATATTTTAGTCATATAAGTTTGCAAAAATAAATGAGAAAATTTGCATATTTTAAATTTACGAAATAATTATATCATTGAAATGTAAACGAGTATATTATAATAAGCAAGAAATTTACTTATGTAATATTTGTACGCTGTGGAGTTGTTTGGGCAACAAAACAATAATTATAACAATCGCTACTTACATACTTAAAATATATTCTTTTCTAAGAAGCATATTTAAAACTAAACGCAACTATTTGTCAATATTAAAAAGTAATAAGTAACAATGAGTTTAATAATTATAATAATTATAACAAAAATAAATTAAAAATTATCTAATTTAAAAATGAAATATAATCATATTTTAAATATTTATTTAATTTTTATTTATTTATTTGTAATTACTATTTGTTTTCTAAAATTAAAGGCTTAATATCCTTGATTAACTTTAAACATAAATAAAGAGAAATCTGGAGACCCGACGAGATATTATTTAAGAAAACGATAATCTTACGGAAGTTCGCGTTATTAAAATTTAAGTGACAGTAACACTGATAGCATTAATTTTATGATTTATTTCGTAGATGTGTTTTTTAATATATATATATATGTGTAGGTTTTTAACTTACAAGTATGCATACTTATTTATGCAGCATTTATATAAGAAAATCATGAATTTAATATCAAAATAATAATTAAAATTATCGAAATATATCGAATCGCGCGAGGCGATACGATTGAAGAACGGAAGGTCTGTTCTTTATTTCTGCACTCTCTGAACTGGTGCACATAAATTAAAGCGAAATAAAATATATGTTTGTTTCACTTCAACTTATTGCATCGCGTGCATCAGTTCAGAGAATGCAGGAATAAAGAACGGACTTAAAGAATACTAATTTGGTTATGTCGGCGAAGTCTTCGAGTCCGAAGAATTTCCAGTGTTATCGTTAAAAGTTTTTTTGTAAAATTGCATAGTGCGATAGCGGCTCATTTCTTAGCACAGTTAAAAATATCTTTCGGATAATCATGGTAGAGGAGATCCAAAAGAAGCTTCAGAATGAAGCCGACACGCTGCGGCAAATCCAAAAAGGTTAAGAAACGTTCATGATTATTTCTGGAAAGTGTTTAATATAAATTTTGCTCTTCCTTTATGTGCAGCAATGACATCTATAAAATAAAGCATCAGAGTCGCCGAATGCAGATCTAAAATTTTTAAAAGTTTCTGACGAAATTAATCACTGTTTGTATTCACAATTAACAAATATTTTCTGACCATGTATTCTCAATTTTGTACTTAAATAATTCGACTATTAATTATTACTGGCTGAATTTAATCGGTATTGGTAAGAATCATTAAATAAAAGGAAGCTGAAGCTTCTCGTTTATCTCTCATTAGGAATTTTCCAACAAGCGACACTATGTAACACTAATCATTTCATGATCTTTGTTTAACATTGGCATAAACAACAAGGATGTAATGATTTACTATGTTACACTGTATTATCTGTCTCTTGTTGGCAAAGCACCGATTATTTTTAATATTGTTGCTTTTTTAATTTGGCCCTATCTTTTTTGTTAGACGATACAACCAGTAATATAGACAAAAACCAGCCATTATATATAAAGAAAAAGCACTAATGAATTTATTGTATTTACAGAATATAACAAGGCGCTGAGCCAGAGGCAGCAACTAGATGGTCAGCTGAATGAAAATATCATGGTGAAGAAAGAGCTAGATATTCTAAAGGAAGAAAACGATGTATTCAAGCTGATAGGACCTGTGCTTGTGAAGCAGGAATTATGTGAGGCCAAACAGAATGTTGACAAGCGTATGGATTACATCAAGTCTGAATTGTAGGTTTGCTTTTATTAGGGTAATATTCATAGTCTGTTCTTATTTCAAAACTATCTTAATTCTTTGAGGATCAAAACTTTATAATAAAGTAACTTATAGAAAATCTTGTTTTCTAGTGACTTTTGGAGTTATTAAATTTTGTTTTGGCCTTAGAATCTTAAAATTTAAAGAACTCTTCTCCATAAATTATATAGAAAAAGTAGGTATATAACATCTTAGGGCCTTAGCAGAAAGCTGACTTATATGTGCCTTCTACAATAAGTCATTAGTCATAAATCAGAAGTCAGAAGCTAAAAATGACCAATTACAGTCGTCAATTTCTAACTTTTAACTTCTGATTTATGACTAATGGCTTATTGTAAGGTGGCCAATAATCTTAATGAGCCTTCTACAACAAGCTATTAGTCATAAATTAGAAGTCAGAAGCTACAAATTGACGACTGTGATTGGTCAATTTCCAGCTTCTAGTCTCTGATTTATGACTAATGACTTATTGTAGAATGCATATAAGACTTAAGTCATAAGACATTATCTTAAGATTATACGTCAGCTTTCTGCCAAGGTCCTTAGACTGTACTCCAAGACAATCTTAAATGTAAAAATTAACTATAAATACTGGCCTAAATAAAAACTAATCATGTGAATACTGATCTAGAAATTGAACTGCATTGTCTGTTTTGGATTTACATGGAAACGAATTTCAGGAAACGTGTGGATGACTTGATGTCTACCCTAGACAAGAAGCTGGACTCGCAGAGGGATGTAATAGATAAATTGCAGCAAGCGTTTCAACAGGCCCAGATTAAAACATCGATAAACCAATCGAAATCATAATATTGTACAGATTACGGCTTTGTGGAATTATTACACTTATATAATTAATAATTAATGCTTAAGTGACACTATTAATTATAGTCTCTTCATAATTCAGTACATGAATGTCATGTTTGTTTCATTTATTTATACTAGACAATTATTAATACAAATCTTGGCTACGTGTCATAATTATTCAAGTGCAATTTATGTAAATTAAAAACTGTATAAACTTTCCACAATATTCTCCCTTTCCTCAAAATCGATCCTTACTTTAATTAATAAGATGACTGACTACTTTCTAACATATAGTAAAATTTAGCTTCAATTTATTCTTTATCTTAGTCTAATCTTTAGAACATTAAGAAAAGATAAAAAGTAAGTGAAACTGACAATAAGATTGATCTATATTGATAGAAATATGGATATAAGAATTATTTTAAGATATGTGAACATTTATGAACAATTATTGAAACTGCGCGGTGCGTAGTGCATGCAACAATGGAGAGATGGAGAATCGAGAATCAACATGGCGACGACGTAGTATCGTCTGTCTTGAAAAAGTTGAAAGTAATTCGAGAATTCTCGTATGGCTATTAATTTTCATAGCTGATTAAGAATTTTAACAGATAAACAACACATCAGGCAAGAACGAAAATGTTGTTAACATTGAAGCCAGATCACAAAAAGCACATGCTGTTTCTAGTCGAACAATCGTCACCAGGTAAGAGCGAATCGTCTGCCGATGAATGAATTTGTTTCACAGAGAAACATAAAGTAAAACATATTCCCTCCGTAGTTTTACAGGATTTCTGCAAATTGGCTCTGGATTATTTGCAAAAGGGCCCGAATGTCAAAGTGTACAACGCTGCTGCTCGTACGTATCCGGTTAACCAAATTTTGTTTTGCAAGCAGATTTTGAAATTATCTGCTAAAACTATTCTACAAATTGTGTTCATTGAATGTCAGTAGAAATACAAAAATCAAGGTTGTACCTTATATTTCAAGATTACGTTTACATATAATTTTTACATATTTATATTAAATTTGCATGAATCTTTTTCACATAGACAATACAAGCAATATATAAAATAAAAATATGTATTAGATAGCACACATACAGAAAGAAATTATTTTGTAATTATTAATATATCTGATTAGAGTATTGATAAATAAATATATATAAGCGAGATGGAAGTTTTATACAATCTAATGCAAGGACAAAGAACATAGGCTTTAATGTCATTTCTACAGATTGTTTATATGTAAGACATAAGAGACTTGTTCTTTTTAGCTAAACTTCTCTTTTTTTCATCAATATGGAAAAAAAAATAAGGAAGATAAATCATAAAATTTTAAATATTAGCAAGTGGCTTTAATTATTACAAAGGTTAAATGAAAAGGAGCATACAGCCACACTTTAAATACCTAGTGCCTTCCCGGTACTAGTGTTACGATGTTGAACTACTATCCAATATACATTTAATTGAAGGCGCTAGGTATTTAAAGTGTGGCTGTATGCTCCTTTTCATTTAACCTTTGTAAATCATAAAAGTTTAGCTAAAAAAAACAAATCTGAGGTCTATTTTTTTAGTAAATGGTATGTATATACATATACTTTAATGGCATAAACTTATAGTGAAATAAATATATATTTAATATTTGGCGAAAGCAAGAAAGAAAGTTCTACTGTAGGAATAAAAAACAAATCTATAGTTTATATTAGTTGCATATACATACATACAGATTACTATATATAATGTACAATCCTGATAAAAATTTTATAACAGAATGACAATAATTGCAGAAATTAAACAACATGTGCTATTTAATAATCATTTAAATGATGAAATTTACTTTATTTAATCTTTCTGTTCAATGCATGACTATACAGGTATATATTTATTGAATTAAAAAACATAAGTTTTATCACAAACATAGATGACTAATACTATAATGATCAAAATGACGTACGATTGCTAACTGCATAAGTTACCTTGTTCTTGTTTCAGAAAAGTTAGATGTTGAGCTGGATGTGATCAAAAATTCAGTAGAGGGTTTGGTCAATCTCTTGCTGGAGAGTTGCAAGTACAAAGTAAGATCTACCAAAGTAATGCAAGACAACAGTATGTTTATTAAAAAATCTGAAAAAAATCTGGAGAATCTGAAAATTTTGAGTCTTACAGCTAAGCACGGAGGATTTCCGGGATTCCATAGTCGCCTTAGGTTTCACGGAAGACAAGGAGGCGATATTGAGTAAATTATACAGCATTAAGAAGGACGAAGTCTCGGATGCGTTGGAAGAGATTGGATTTAAATTGTCGAGATACCATGACATGGAATGGAGATTTGAAGTGCAGGTAGCGGAGTCTTCTCTCTTTTTTCTCAGAGCGTTTCAATTTATAATTGAATTTATAATTTATATTACTCTACATCATAGACTGCGTCAAGATCCTTATTGAAACAAGTTGCACCACTCATCTCTCTTGACTTGTCACTGAAGAATCCCGATAATCCCGAGGAAATTGAACACGTTCTGCTACAAACCGATCCAACTAACTTACTTCATATAACTCAAGAGTTGGAGGAAGCTCTGCAAGAAAGTCGCAGTCAACATATTAGGAGAATTTCAAGAGCAGTAAAATAAGGCTTTTTGTAATTTGTAATTATATTTGAGGCAATTTGTGAATATAGTGTATGATATATAACTATATATAAAAATAGATATAAGTATAAAAGATTGATAAGTAAAAAGATAAAAATATAAAGAATAAACAATTTTTTATCTATAAAGAATACTGAATGAATGTAGCTTCGTTATTTTAATCACATTTATTATCAGCATCTGTAAAGTTTCATTCCGATCGGATTATCCCAAATAATAAGTGACAGTAATCGACATGCATAACATGCGTATTACATCCGTATATATTATATTAAGGAGATAAGTACATTTACATATGTAATTGGATGATTTTATTGGATTTCTATGCCTATATAAAAAAAAAAATCTGCGCTCTTCCTCCACTTATACTGGATACAACAGTTATCATTACAAGTTATTCTTTATCACGGACTATTGATGTTTTACAAATTGAAGTTTTTAATTGCCTCGAATTCAGAATCTAAATCCAGCAGGAACAGTTGTATCTTAAAACATTCCAGTGTCAAGAAGTATGCATATCTGTTTTATGCATTATATCTCTAAATGGTCCATACTTAATTACCAATATTTTGCAGAAAGCAAAAGAAAATTTTGGAGTCCCTTGTTACAGTAAGTATCGAAAATTTGACCATTTTCTCTGAGAACTCCACCATGGCGTTTGCTGATGTACTAACAAGAACGATCGGACCTCGAGCTATGCAGCAAATTATGTCTTTTAATAATAAAACTGTAGTGGATAAAGTACCTCCGGATATGATGTATTTAATCGATCCACATTGGTTACTTTCGATTTCTCTATATTCGTAAATCATTCGTGTTTGCAAAGTAAATCTCACTAAATTCTGGAATTACAGGTATCAGTTTCCACCGATGGATCCAATGTGGCACAAAATTTTAGGCCTTGTGATGATTGTGTTAGGGTTTATGGGATGGTGCGGTAATGGTGTTGTAGTATATATATTCTTGATGACACCCTCCTTAAGAACACCGAGCAATCTTCTAGTGGTAAATTTGGCATTTTCGGACTTTATTATGATGATCATTATGACGCCTCATATGGTGATCAACTGCTATTATGAGACCTGGGTGTTAGGTAATGCAAACTTTGTCTTTCCGTCATACTAATTATTGCATGTGTAATTTAAATTGATAATGTGTAAGTAACGTATGAATTAATTTTATATTAAGGATTGCTAATGTGCGACATACATGCTATAGTTGCTTCTTTATGTGGATGCGCTTCAATATGGACTATGACTGCTATTGCTTTGGACAAATACAATGTTATAGTAAAGGTATGTATAATATACTCTTATATTATTATTAGTATGTGAACAGAAACCAACATGCCTAAATCTCTTCAGGGTATGGCGGGAAAGCCACTCACCATCAAGAAAGCACTACTCGAAATTTTAATAATCTGGCTCTTCGCTTCAATATGGGCAATCTTGCCCATGGTGGGATGGAATAGGTAATATTAAGATAATAAAAAATTATACTTATAAGAAAATATGGTTTATAATAGAGAAGAGAGTGTTGTATTATATTTTATAATGTGACGATTAGATATGTACCAGAAGGCAATATGACCGCTTGTGGTATAGATTATCTTACCAAGGATTGGAGTTCCAAATCATACATCTTGGTGTACTCGATATTTGTATATTATACGCCGCTGTTTACTATAATTTACAGTTATTATTTTATCGTTTCGGTAAGAGTATTCATACATTACAACATTGAAAAAAAATTTAGTGTATACCATAAATACATTTTTTAAATTAACAGGCAGTAGCTGCTCATGAAAGAACAATGAGAGAACAAGCTAAGAAAATGAATGTTCAATCTTTGCGATCTGGAGATAATCAAAATATAAGTGCAGAAGCAAAACTGACAAAGGTGACACAAAAAAAGAAATATATTAAAATTATAAATATATTATATGCGCTAAAATATTGAAAGAATGATTTGAAGAAAGTCAGGATTGACATATACATTTACTTTATTAATTACAGGTGGCACTAATGACCATTTCTTTGTGGTTTATAGCATGGACGCCATATCTGGTTATTAATTATGTCGGCATTTTCGGTGTTGCTAAAATTAGTCCTCTTTTCACCATCTGGGGATCTCTCTTTGCAAAGGCAAACGCTATATATAATCCAATTGTTTATGGAATAAGGTAAATGAGATTTTTAATGATATATATAATTATTAATGTTCTTGTATTGCATTATTTTATTCTGCACAGTCATCCAAAATATAGAGCAGCACTAAAGGAAAAATTACCTTTCTTTATATGTGGCTCGACTAAAGACCCATCTGCGGCTGCGAAAACTGCAGAAACGTCATCTACTATAATTACAACATAATTCCAAGAGAATAATGTAATTTCTATATATTGTGATATATGTTTAGGGTCTGTTTCTTGAGGAAACGAATCAATAATCAATATTAGACATATTATACACACACGTGTGTGTGTGTGTGTGTGTGTTTATATGATAAATGTAAAACATGTAATTTGTAAAGCTTCAATAATCGGCGATTATGCAAAAAGCTACATATATGGAAACTTTGAATGGGCTGATTCCATGATACGCTGTATGTGATGAATTCTCATTTTATTTCAAATCTTCTCTTTTGTTCTTTACTTTTATTGCAGGTGATTAAATAGTTGCAGGAATAAATAATAGAAGGCATTTAGTGTCAATTGTATTAGATATAAGGGTATTATTCAATAAATCATTTGGCATGTAATGATTTAGGAGAATATCTATAGGTTCTTAAGAGATATAATAAAAAATACTAATGCATAATATTAAATGCGAGTATACAGCGTGTCCTATTTTAATTAAAATAGCTAATTTCTGGGAATTACGAGACTTTAGACAAAAATGTTTCAGACAGAAGTTGTATAACTTTAAGGGGAGCATAAGATACTATTGGTTTGATCTTAGATAGTTAAAAGATAGTTTAAAGATTACGTGAAGGGCATCTTCAATTTTTTAAATAGAACCCTCTATTTTTTTTTTACATATTCTTGTAGCCGAGAGTTTTTCAAAACAGTATATAATGAAATTTATTTTCGAGTTGTGAGACTTGAAACATTTTTACGTAAAAATGAAAATAAGAGGCCCAATAAACGAGAATGGATTAAAGTAGATTGAAATGAATTCATGTTTTCAGAAAGACGCATGCGCGAACATTGAAAGAACCCTTTTTCAATGCATTTTTATTCATTTATAGGAATTAAAATCTCATTTACCGGGTTGGTAGCACTATCTTGTATCCCCCTTAAAATCGTACAACTTTTGTCTGAAACTTCCTGTAAAGTCTCATGATTTCCAGAAATTGACTGTTTTAATTAAAATAGGGCACCCTGTATATGTACACATACGTTAAAAAATGTTTGTGGTTGAATAGAATTCATTTGTGATTGCATGCAGTATCTATTTAATTCTATAAAATTAATTACAGATATTGTTAGAGCGATATAATACCGCATATCGCTCACGATATAATTTTTAGCGACATTATATAATTTGCTAATTCCAAAGTGACCATATATTCCAAGAGATGATAAAATTTACAACTGCGCTATGAGCCATTTATGAGAGATTCGTCTTGTGGTGCGGCCGAACCATACAATGTTTCATAAACTAACAGCTATAATGAAATTTAGCCCTCGATTTTTCTGTTAAAATTTTTCGCATATTCGCTTGGCTGAGGCTCTCGCTTTGATCACAGTTTTTCTTATATAAAATATCACGGTTAAATATATTCTCGTTAGTGATGTATCTCTCTTGCACACGTTATTTAATGCAGCTATTTACAACTCATGATGATGCGATTTCTGTATGACGAGAATATAATAATATTTCAGATCCATTTACATCCATTTAGTAAATGTATTCCATCGTCAAAAAAATCATTATTTTATGCGACAGGTTTTTCGCCTTCTGTAACCGTGGTAGTCGTGGACATTGTGTCCGCGCCAGGCGCCGGCTCGGAGGCACACGCCAGAGATGGGAACCTTTGGAAGAGAGCAGCTCGATACTTGGGATGGCTGAAATCACATAGAAAAAAGATTAGTTCCGCTAGAAGCATATGAGACAATTCATCTGCTTTACTGTATTCTATCTGTAAAAATATATTTTAATGACGACATACTTCAGATAATGGAATTGTTGCGACCTACCTGATGCCATACACAATGGGATTGTACACAGCATTGGCTTTGGCAAAGAGAGAGCCCCAAATTGTGAAGAGCGGACTGATTTTGGTTGTCTCAAAAATGCCTGAGAAATTGATGACTAGGTACGGAGTCCACGCCATAAACCACAAGGAGATAGTCATGAGAGCTACCTATAATTAGTAACATCGTTATAACTACCATATAAGTAAGAACAAATTGGAGAGAGTTTACAAGCAAGAAGGCTTGCCTTCGCTAATTTGCATTCGGCGCTGGTGCTTTGGTTTTCGGCGGATCGCAGAGAAGCGACGTTCATCTTCTTCGCTTGCTCACGCATGTTCTTCTCATGAGCGGCGACCGCTTGAATGATGAAGAAGTAGCTGTAGATGATGAGGAACAGCGGCATAAAGTAGACAAAGATGCTATAGAACAGGATGTACGATCTGGATACTATATCCTTGGTTAAGTAATCGGTACCACAGGCAGTCATGTTGCCTTCGGGCACGTAGCTGTGAAAAGGAAATGTATGTTGCTTATAATTCATAATATTCTTTAATAATAGTTAATATTATTTTAGATTTTTGCATCTCACCGATTCCATCCGAACAGTGGGGCGATTGTCCAAAGTATCGTGAAGAGCCAAATAGCGAATATACGAATGAGGGCGCCTTTAATGGTCATTGGCTTAGCAGACAAGCCTTTGACAATTACGTTATACCTATCGAATGCGATCATCGTCATCGTCCATATGGAGCCACACCCGAACAGGGAGCCCGCCATGCCGTACAATTCACAGAACAAAGGTCCTAGCACCCAAGTCTCATAATAGCAATTGATTACCTGTGCACATCATTAATTGAATATACAGATCGCACCGAATATTATTGTCGCATCAAATATTTCGATCGTGAATGCCTTGGATTAGAACGCACCATAGCTGGAGACATGCACAACATCATGAGGAAATCAGAGATGGCAAGATTGACGACGAGCAAGTTGCTCGGAGTGCGAAGACTCTTGGTGGTGGTGAATATATATATCACCATGCCGTTACCAATGATAGATATTGTGCCAAGGACGCCGATGGCGAAACCAAGAAGTCCATGCCACAGAGGATTCATCGGCGGGAATTGGTACCAGTGAACATCGACCATGTGGAGCATCTCCGGTGGCACTTTGTCGACCACTGTTTGATTACCAAATCCGCCTCCTTGTGCTGCCCACGTGTAAGCTGCATGACTTGGTCCGGATACGAAAGACATGGTGAACTGCGAAAGTCTCTAGATTAATTAATATTCTTTTATGTGAGATTACTTATATACTATTTATAATTTGGACTACTTAGCGTTGAAAAAATTTGAAAAGAAAAAATTTAAAAAGAAACAAAGACAGGAAGTTATTCGAAGTCAACAAGCCTTCACCGAATTTTCACATTTCCTTGCAGATAATTATGGCAAAAAAAAAAATTAATTCGTGACTTGCCTCCGTTCGTACTACTTGGAAAAAATCGTCGTGGTGAACGAACTAATCCAAGTAAACTGTAGGATCGTCGGCGTGATATCTTGTAACGGCCTATCCGTGAAGACGCTTGCAGGTAGAGTTCCCTGTTCGGTCCACCATCGGCTGCGGCTCGAGGCTGCGCGACGATAAGCCGCGCTTAAATATACGTCGCGATCTTACGTATTTGACTATATACAACACTTTTCTAAGTCGGCAAACAGTCTTAAGAAATTCTCTATTAGATTACGCAGGATTTGGGAATACCTTGGGAGTACCTTGAGTTGCCGCACACAGAAACCTTACGAGAATGCAACAAGAATAGAATGCGAAAAATCACTTGATGGTACAGATTAATCAAAAGCAACGATTCAGTGTCTAATCTTAATAAATTCTCTAATTGTTAAAGAATCAGATTTATATTAAAATAATATTATAAATAATTTTAATAAGTATTTGTTTTATATATCTTTTATAATTTTTAGTTTATATATTATATATTATAAAAGTTTCAAAAGAGAGTAGATTAGGAGGGAATATAAATTGTAAATACAAATAAATATATAAAGTTTCATTTTATTTAAGGTTCCTAAGTAGTTACAGAAGAGCCATTTGAATCGTAATATTAAAAATGACACGTAAATTTGCGTCATTTATAAATAAAGGCAATTTAGATAAAACGAAATGATAAAATCGTTTAAAACAATCGTAAAAATGAACGAAAACTATCCTTATTCTCCCTGACAGTACATTTATACAAATAGAACTCGAATTTCGAACGAGATATTGCGCGATTAAATTCAAACGCAATCGATAGTAAGATCGAAATTTATTAAATTCGAGATAATCACGTGGGAAATTCGTAAGCGATTCAAAATGGCCCGAGCCGGGATCTGCCGAGAAGCAAATATTGATAGAGTATACGGAGTTGCGGTTATGTTCGTCCCGCCATAAGTGATGGATCGATGATAGCATCGTGATGATTCGTAATATTTGTATCAACAACAGATACTTTCAAAGATCAACACGATAGGTACGCAAAAGAAAAACAAAGTGCGTTTCTTTCGCGCGCGAATATTAACGATTATTATAATCAACAGCCATGGAGGAGAGCCTCGAGGATAATTTGTTGGATGATGGGGATGGCGTCGGGGAACTGACGGCACAGACGGTGCTCCAGGAGATCGAAAACGCCTGGATGAACGAGAGATTCGCTCCGGAAATCTTGCCGCATCAGTCCGACCTGGTGGACTGCATGCTGCAACAGATCGCGCACATGGAAGAGAACATCAAGAGGTTAGATAAGAATGATCTGCGAGCACTAGTCCACCGGATGGAACTCGATCGGATCAAATACGTCATCAGCAGCTACCTGCGAACACGTTTGGAGAAGATCGAACGATATACGATTCATATCCTGTCGGAGGAAGCAAATAGAAGTCCGGAGGAAGCCTATTTGACTCCAGGCGAGTTGCGCTTTGCTAAGGAGTACCTGGCCAATCTGGAAACATTCTTCAAGACGGTGGCTTTGCAACATATGCCGCCTAACTTTCAGCGATTTGAAGCGAACAAGTTTACCGTTAAACCTAATCTGCAGGCGCATGTGTTTCTGCGTGCCAACCAAAGGGTTACCGGCATAGTCCTGCCTGGTATGCTGAATGAAGAGATAGACTTTGAGGAAGGTTCGCAGCATATCATACAGTATAGTGCCGTAGCAAATTTGGTTAAATCTGGTGTAGTGCAGTTGATTTGACCTGGAGTTGCAGTTATTTATTTTTCTATATCAAGGAAACATAGCTAAGAGACAAAAAAGTTTGTGATATATATTTTTATGAATTAGTATATATACCTCTATTTATTATAATCATTATAAAATCTCAATATAATTATTCATTAAAAAGAAATCTTTAATAATTTGTTTCAACTTCATATAAAATGTCAAAATTTACATTCTAGTCTCTTTGACTATTAACAAGTAACATATTCTCTCATTTCTTATACGGAAGTTTAACATTGTATACAGCAGAGTACTTCGAAAGTAATATGTTACTTGTAACTGTTACAATTATTTTTTTTATGACTATAATGAATACAATTCTTACTTTGTACATGTACAATACAGCCTTAGACTAAAATAATAAGCACTTTATTAAACAGTATTTAAAGTTTTAGCTCAAAAATTAATATATAGTACTTCCTATAAATTATTCTTTGTTTCAAGACCTTTTTAAATTTATGTATAATGTAACCGAAAAGAATAGTAACAGTAACAAGTTAATTTTCTAAAGTAACTTTCTTAACTTTGAACATAGCGTTGATGAACACATTGTATTCCCTGATAATTCAATTTTTCAAGCCATTTAACTATCAGCAATAGCATTGCAGACTTATATTGCAATATATTATACTTTGTCATCATTTTTCAAATGAAATTTGATATTTGTATGATATTCAAATAGTTATAAAGTGGTATCAATTCTGTTAGAAGTTCTTTTAAATTTTTTATAAAATGCTTCTTATAAAAATTTAGTAAAGGCCTAATTGTATGTAACTAAAAAGAAAAATGATAAATTTATTTTGCAATATTAACACAAATAAGCGAAGAAGTCATATTCAATCAAAGAATCTTGATGTCCAATAATATTTTTTTGTGAATTTTACAATTTCCAGTTTAAGCAAACTGCACGCCGATTATTTGTTGTCTTGAAACACAGTAAACTGAAGCTGAAGTACGTGATATTACAAATTAAATTGACTTCCATCTGGACCTTCATATATTTTGTGATGGACCTCCCTATATTTTGTGACATCTTACCAATTCTATCATCGAAGGTAATAGAAATATTTCTTTACACACAAACATTTATAAAAAATAAGTACAAATTATTTAAAATAACTAAGTACTATAATCTAATCAATTCTCACTAAAAATATTGCTTAAAAAAAATAAAAACAAATTAAAATTAAGTAAAAGGAAATAAGTAATTTGTTCTTTTATTAACACAGACTTATTGTAGTATTTCTTCTAGAGTAGATCACAACGGTTCACGCCGTCGTTCATACGCCTGTAAACAAAATATTACACTTAAATATCTTTTTAATATTTTTTCTCATTCTTTATCACCATGGAGCAATTGATTTACCTCTTTGGCACATTGTTTAAGTTGTTCTGCCATCGCCTTTCCAGTTTCTTGCACCATATTACTGAAGTGACCTTGTTCGTTTTGTAACAAAATATACGGATGATCGAATTCTAATAATTGACCTTGATTCATCGTCAGTACTTTATCGTTGTCCATTATCGTGTTCAATCTGTGCGCTATTGTTAATACCGTGCAGTTTTCGAATTTCTTTCGGATCGTCGTTTGTATGAATGCGTCCGTCGTAGGATCCACATTGGCAGTAGCTTCGTCGAGCACAAGTATTTTATTATCTTGTAAAATCGCGCGAGCTAGGCAAACCAACTGTCGTTGTCCAACGCTGAAATTACTGCCGTCCTGTTCAACATGGTAGTCTAAGGAGCCTACCATGTGTTTTAATTTCACTTCTTCTAAAACACTCCACAGATCGGCGTCATGAAACTTATAAAAGGGATCGAGATTATCTCGAAGCGTAGCGGAGAATAATACCGGTTCTTGCGGTATTATGGAAATTTTATTTCTCAAATCGTGAAGCCCAATTTTCTTCGTATCAACGTTATCAATGTAGATAGTGCCGTCGAGTTTTGCCATGCGAAATAAGGCGGCGATTAGAGATGACTTCCCGGCTCCGGTACGACCCACAATTCCAATCTAAATAATTATAGAGAGAATAATTTAGAATAATTTAGAATACAATTATAATTATTTAGAATGACTTGAGCTTATTTGATAACGGATTTTTGTACAAGTGGTAATTACCTTCATGCCAGGTTTAACGACGAAACTTAGAGATTTAAGAACGGGTGATTCAGATTCGGAGTATCGAAGATAAACACGGTCGAATTTAATTTCTCCCTTAGAGGGCCAATTACTCGACGGTTTATCTATGGGATTACTCTCAAACGGGCCTTCTTTCTCAAGCTCGGTGAATTGTATTATTCTTTCTACGCTCGTCATCTGTGTGATCGTTTCTGCGGTTTGACGCATTCCGTACTGTACCATACCGCATAAAATGAGCACTTGCGAAATAGCTAAACCAACATGTCCGGCGAAAGTGTTTTCTAGCAAAGGCAAAAAGATCTGTAGATATTCTATTATTACGAACTCTGTAATTAGTAATAATTGTATCAAATACTTACCATCGTTTAATGCAACAAAACTGTATGTAACGATAGCGATAAATCCGATAGATACTACGTCCAGCGCTAAACCGAATACTGTGCTAGTTGCGATAATTAGTGAATAGGTGCTAGTGTGTAAATCTTGATGTTCGTCAAATTGTTTGCGAATAATCTCCTGGGCACCGGTAGAACGTATTGTCGTCAGACCCGACAACGTGGAGTTTACATGCGAAAACATGGGACTCTTTGCTAAAAATTGAAACGAACATTAATTTTTTAACACGAAAGATGGCTTCAGATGTCTAAAGAAGGAAAGTAATTTACCAATTCCTTCCAACCGTTTTGTGGTTCGCGCTATTGGAAGATAAATTTTTCTTATTATGCCAAACAAGAAAATCATAATGATTACAGCGAATATAATCCACCAGTTGATAATAAGTATTTGAACCAGAATTCCAATCATCACCGTAAATATTTGAATGGATACTGTCATAGTGCTGGGCAATATTTCATCCACTGCGCCCATGTCCTTTGAAAAACGATTTAAAATTCGACCTAGGAAAGTACAATTCTTATTTACTTGCATCCTGTTACATTACATTAATAATGATCAAACACTAAGGATCGATTGTTCCATCTTCGAATAAACTATGTGATAATTTATCTACTAGATAAACAAAATACTAAAAGAGTAAGAACATAAGAAAGTTATACATAAGTTATACATAACATAAGAAAGCCGACGGCGCGATGTTTGATTTCCTGCAGTATTGACAATGCCAACATCACAATAGGATGGCAAGATTCTAATTCAGCTAGCAATCCAAGAAAACAAGCATCGTGTGCCGCCGGCTTAAGAGAGTAAGAGTGAGCTAAAATTTACCGAAAAATGGAACAGCCTAAGTCAATATACTTTACCGGATGGATTATTGTCAAAGAACGACATCGGTGCTTTAAGTACGCACGAAAACATGAAATTATGTAAATTCTTGCTGGCATTCATACATATCTTGGCAAAAATTAAATTTTTTATTGTCGTTACTACAATGCTGATAGCAATAAAACCTCCATAAATCCATAAAGCCGTATTCATATCGAGATAGTATATATTCTCATCTATAATTTTGATCTAATTTGAAATAAAGTAGTAAAACATTTACGATACAATTACAAGACTGAATATATTGTACAATAGAAAAGTAGGAAATACTAACAGTTATTGATAGTAAAATTTTGTGACGATATAGTATCATTGGACATATCTCTATAATAGTCTGTGGTTGTTATAAATTCAGTGAACTCGTTACTAATATTCGATGCATTTTTTATTTGTCCAGTAGATCTCAGTGTGGAAGAAGGCATTGTAAAATTGTTCACTGCACTATGCTGTAGTTCGCGCATAACTTTGATACGCATCTCTTCTTGTCTCGTCCTGCATCATAAAATTTATTACATCTAGAAATAGGTTCTTCCTCATAAAAACTTACCAATAACCAACCCAATAGTCACAACCATTGCTTCCAATTTGTCCCAAAATCGTGCAAAACAAAAAGAAGATAATCATGATGATCGAAGCACCGCTACGAAAATATTTCCAATAAATCAATTTTGACAAACTTCCTTTAGCCAGAAGCTCCTCGGTTTCTTGAGGCTCGGCTTTCTCCGTGTCTTCATCATTGACGTTACCGTTTGGAATTATATCAGACATAGGATTTGCATCAATTTTTAATGATTCCTTCTTTTCGTTAACTTCTTCAACTCTCATTAATATTTCCAAAAAAATCGCACGTTTTTCTTGAAGGGCTGTAAATGTACCTTCATCTTCAATTTGACCCTTTTTGAAAAAATTCAATTAATTAAATTAAGTAAGTAATTCAAGTAATTAAATTTCATACACTTATAATAATGTGTAAATGTATTCACATAAATAATTATACATATATACATATATAACGTAATATTTTACATACATTATTAAGAATAACAATGTAATCGCATTGTTTTAAGTACTGCAATTGATGAGTCACGAGAATTCTTGTCTTGTTCCGCAAGTAATTGTTCATACATTCATTAAATAAATGTCTACCAACGTGAGTATCAACAGCTGATAAAGGATCATCGAAAAGATAGATATCAGCATCTCTGTAGACAGCTCTATAAATAGCAGATTATGTAAAAATATGTAACACTGTTTTGCAAGTGTAATATAGCAAATTTACCTTGCTAGATTAATTCTAGCACGTTGTCCACCGCTGAGTGCCGTACCTCTTTCACCGACTAAGGTCTTATCACCATACGGAAGTTGTTCGAAATCTTTCACAAGAGCGCATACGTTTACAACATTCTGATATTTAACGTTATCATAAGGCTGACCAAACAAAATATTATTTCGCACTGTACCAGTAAACAGCCAAGGTTCTTGGCTAGCATATGATATTTTGCCATTTATTTGTATTTGACCTTGCGATGATTTCAGTTCGCCTAAAATTGCTTGCAGGAAAGAACTCTGAAAATTAAATACAAACAGATTTTCTTAAAATAAATATTAAAATTCGTTTTACACAAAATATTACACACACGCATACAAATATAGAAAGTGTTCAATAGATATACCTTGCCTGCGCCCACAGGACCAATAATGGTATAGAGTTTTTTGTCTTTAATTTGAATGTTGATGTTATGTAATGTATTTACAATTTTAGTGGTTGTCCACGAAGCACTAACATTTTTCATTAAAATACTTGTGTCTTTAATAGTTGATGATTGTATCAATGGAACGTTCTCATTCAATAACAGGAAGTTCTAATAAAAGATTTCAAACTTTATTTTCATTCTGTTAGCATTTCTGTACTATAATTATTTACTACGTAACAATCATTGACTGATTTATATATTTCTTTTTATCTTTAAAATTGATCTCAACTAAGTAAAGTGATCTTACTTCAATTCTTTTTATAGAAACTGCTGCTTCAGCAGCACCCGCTACGGCCATAGGATAAAATATCGCCATAGTAAGTTGAAGAATATTAAAATATTGTGCCAGTGAGAATACTTTATCGGCGGATATAGAATGTCCACAAAGTACATAGGCCATAATTGTAAAATACAACGTTGTTCTTTCCGTGAAAACACAAGAGGCTAACGTGAAACCTCTTAGGTATGATATTAGCGTGAGGACATCGATTTCATATCTAGACGAAATAATGCATTTATTATATTAGATTTCTTTGTAATAACAATGAGACTGAAATATGTACCAACTTTCTTGCACAATTAACTAGTTCCGCAAATGGTTTCTCCCAAGTATACATTTTAATAACTTGTATGCCCTTGATTATTTCGGACATCAAACGAATTCTCTCGTCGGTTCTTACTGCGATTTTTGAACGTAACTTCGAGGTACATCTACCTATGTATCCTGCAAAGTACGTAAAAATTAGTAACTTATTGTATAGTTAGTTAATTATTATATATGTTTGCAACTGTACGTTACCTTGAAGAGGAATAGTCTGAATTATTATGAAAAATACACCGGCTAACGAAGCAATGCCAACACTCTGCCAAATCATAAATGCAATTATGGATCCTTGTATAGGCAGAATCCAAATGTAATGTAACCATAAAAACAATTGCTCGAATTTTGACATG